TATTTCATTCTATATTCTCACTTGCTGTGACCTGCAAATACAAACAGTATCAAGGACTTTCAAATTATTCAGGTAAAATGAATATTAAGAAATTGGTATGCATGGATTTCAATTTTTGCACAAAAATCAATGTATCTTCTAATTCTTTTTTCCATGAATTTTTTGAAGCACCTTGGGGTAGTCAACAACTTATTAAGTACTAGGCACATGGTATATTATCATCAACGAAGCAAAAGAGGAATAGGCATTTGCCCTAGCACCTAGACACAGGCAGCCCACATCAGAGTGTCTGGGTTTAATTCCAGGCTCTGGCTCCCAACTCCAGCTTCCTGTCATTTCAGATCCTGGCAGGAAGATGACAGCTCAAATAACTGGCTTCCTGTCAACCACAGAGGAGACCTGGATTCAGTTGGTGGCTACTACCTTCAACCTCAGCTCAGCCCCAGCCCTTGTAGGTATCTGAAAAGTGAACCAGCAGATGGGAGCTCCCTGTTTCACAAATAAATAAAGCAATAGAAAGAAAGAAAAACACTGATGTTAAGGCAGTGAACTAAATATTAAGAATTTACAAGAAAAGCTTATGATCTCAACTATGATAAAACATAATTACCACGGTTAGCAAAGTTCCATGACAAGAAACGCTGATAGTGTGCATTTTCTTAAGAATCGAGTATCCATTATTAGGATTAGAAAATAGAAACTGCTATAGAAAATAGCAGTTACTTTGTTAAACTTATCCAAATTATTAATAATCCTCTAATTTTATGTTTGGCACATATTCTTTGCAAAGTAGAAGAGTGAACTGTGCTGCCACCTGTTGAGGTAGCCTAAGGGAGAATTCTACAGTGCTCAGGGTATGCCTACTACTCAAGAAACACGATCAGGCTGCATCATCAACCTTAAACAATACTGAGGACATTCTTTGAAGATTCTCCTGGTTTGAATTTTAATGTCTTAGGAAGCAGTAGAGTGCTGTCCTTGCAGTAGGCATGGAAACCAATTGTTTTATTTACTTTCCAACAACAGTAAAAGTTAATAGACTCTCAGCAGCCTTCAGCCCTCTGTGGAGTGACGGGAAATGTCCCTCTCTATCAGCCATTATTATCCCTTAAATGACCTGTACCCTCAGGAACCTGAATTCAGATGAAAACAGCACAGAGAACGAAAAAAGGAAGTTAAGAAAGGTTTACTTCTATTCAATTCAGTTTAAAAAAGGTTTACTCACTACTGCTCAAATCAAGCATTTTTGAAAAGGCCTCTAGTAACTTGACTTTCTCTGAGACACGCCAACCAGTATTTTTTCAGTTTTACAATGTTATACACATTCTTTAGCTTACATTAAGGTTAAATTTTGCAAGTTAAATTGTAGGGCTTTATTAGTGCTTTCAATATATCTAAAGAGCACTAAAAATCACTTAGGGAATAAATGTAAATTGAAGCTGATTGCGGGTTTTGCAACAATAATGGCAACCATTTTTTAAAACCAAGTTCAAATGAGCGCCAGGTACTTTAATTGAAAAAAAAAAATCTAATGCAGAACTACTTGAATTTCAACTTACTGCCACAATCCTGATTTTATTACATGATTTATTAAAAATAAGCCTGACCATCATCGCTCCTTTTGCTAGCATTTTATGTGACAGTATTGCTTCCAACACACAGTGTTTAAGGGTGTCTCCTGTTCTACTTATTCTGCTACTCTTAATTACTACTTGTACCTCAGGAAAGTAAAAAATATATAAGAATAAGACTGATGACAGCATTACATCAGACAGTGCCAATTAATTCACTGACTTCCAAATTTTCTACTCATTTATTACATGATAAAGGACATGGTTTAATAGATTTTATAAAATATAAATGTTGGAAATATGTAATATATGAGCCGTCTGAGGTAATGATCAGGTTCCTCAAAATGATGATGGTTTCCAATTCTAAGACGTATGCAGGAATGTGACGAGACAGTCCTTCACTCCTATCCTTGGAGAAGGCGGTAGTACTCTCATACTTCTCCCACTGAGGAATCACAAGTTCTTGGTTTTAAGACAACTTAACAAGAGCTAGAATCATTGAAAGTAGCACACAACGAGTGTTATCTGCTCAACAGATCCCAATTGTTGACAAGGCTTTTTTGGATTTATCTTAAAAATCATATCTTTATAGCTTGAAAATACCATGCTGGTTCTACCTCCTGCACTTCTTTTTCAATGTGCTGATTTCTCTATATTTTTAGATTAAGTCAAATTCTATTAAAACATGGAGATTAAAATCTCAACTAGAATTTGGGAGATGAAAAGCTTTACTACAATCTTTACACAAATAACCAAGAATATTAGTAATTTTCCTAAGGATAAAAACTATGTCTATGTAATATATATAGTTATACACTGTGCATTTTGAAGAAAAACTAAAGTTAACTTTTTATTCAAGGAACGGTTCTAGTATGGAGTGGTGAAAATTGTTTGAAGTTTCTTCTATGTCAACACTTATTGTAGACTTGTGTTTGATTTTACTATTTCTCTGTGATTTGTTCTGAGGAAACTGAAGAAATAAGACATTAGCAGCAGTAATTTCTAAATCCACCATGTCTCACCTAACACTTCCTATCTTTGTTCCCAAAGATTTCTTATAAATAAACAGATTTATATATCTATATCACATATAAATTATACCATATTTTTAAAAATCATTCTATCAAAATAAGAATGAGTTGCATTAACAAGTAACATTCAAGAGACTTTTCAAATAGAATTCAAAAGAAGGGACAACTCAAACTTGCATGTAATCAAAAAACAAAAGGTAAGTACTAATTTCAGAATTAATTATGCTGAAGCATCTTCCGAAGCTTTTATTGCTAAATGAAAGTAGCTATTCTTTTTTAATGGAACAAGACCAAGCAAAAGTACTTCAGCTAAACTGTTTCTCAGAGAGGTTCAGATTTCCTTGTTTCTTTGCCTTCATACAGACGGAGTACATAAATCCATTATTTTAGGTAAATGCTCAGGTTTAACATTTCAAGGCAGTTTCACAGGCAATGCAGTCTATTTTCAATCATTTGGTTTGATCTAAAAAGGAACTAAAAGATAAACAACATCCTGGAAGGTACACAAAAAATTATGAAGTTAATGACTCTGGGATAGATTCTGTATCAATTACTCGGTAGTGGGATTTGAGACGCCAGGCTCTCAGCATGCCTTCTATCATATTAATAATAAGCAACAGGTGGCTCAAGGGGGAAAATGATAGCACTTCATTTCTCCACCACCTCCAAAGTCATCTTCATAAAAATGAAATTGTCTTACTGAAACGGCAACGCTGAGAACCGAGATAAGCGTTTCAAATAAATCATTTTTATAGTCACATATATTGCAGATATTTCAAAACGTATTTGTTTCAAGTATCTCCTAAGTCCTTTATTTACATTTGCATACCATTTTCCCCAGAGATCACTTAAGAAGATCTGAAAATATGAGTGCTGTAACAACCCACTAGTCTGTCTCTATACAGTTTGGCTGCACAAACTGTAGAGTACTAAGTTCTGCAGTAAACAACTCAACTTTTTTCAATACTTTAAACCAAACAAATTCACAAACTGCCCAAGTGTGGACCGGTCACTCTTAATAATTCAACAAAGTAACTGAAGCAATGTAAGAGAACACTAACACATTAAAATCTTAAAGTATGTTTTCAAGATGAAAGCCCAAAGTTCCCTTTTAAAAAACATTTCAACAGCCAAGAAATAAAAAAAAAACTTGAAATTTGAAATATTGTTCTAATACTGACAAAATTTTCAATGTTCCCCCCGCCCGAGAGCATGCTGAACACATTCTCTCCAGGTTCATACATATCTCACTCTCTAGCTTTTTTGTAAACATATACATATATTTAATATATATATTAATATACATTCAAAACAAACGCCTAAGAGTTTTTTTTTTTCTTTATAAGAGCATCCAGTTAGCAATAAAACTACGCTCTGCTTTGTTTCTAAGACAGAGCCCTCATTCAGTATTTCATCATTGTTCATCCTGGGTGCCCACGCACCAACCAGCTGCACCTACACTTAAAGTCAAAATGACCATTTTCTGCGGATTCCCTCTCCCAGGCTGGGCTCGTCGGCTACTTCCTGGCCCAGTGCAGGGCTGGGGTCCGGGGGACCCCAAGTCGCGGGGGAGCCGGGGCGGAGGAGAGAAGTTAAGGCGCGCGGGGCTCCGCAGCAGGACCCCGCGGGAGACCCCCCGCCAGTGCCCAGTGCCGCGGCGCGGGCCGGCTCCGGGTCGGGCCTGCGGGTGTCCCTCGGAGGGGCTGGGACCTCAGAGCCGGGCGCGTCCAGGGGACCCGCGCCGCCCGCCCTGGCGCCAGGCTCCAAGCTGAGGGGCAGGCTGTGGCGGGTACGAGGGGCTGCGACGTCGCGGTCTCGGGTTCGCACCCCGGGCCTCCCGGCGGGGTCCGCACAACCCCGGACGGAGCGCCCGGACGCTGGGGTTGTGTGTGTGATGGGGGGAGCCCACCGTTTAACCCTTTCCTGGCCGACCCCCGCCCCACCTGCCAGCTTCCCCTTCGGAATGAGCCCGGGTTCCAGAGCCTGGCGAACGGGTTCTGGATGACACTCGGACCGGATCGGCGATTTTTACGGCGTGAGGGGGCAGTTCAACTTCTGCCGACCGACCGACCGGTGCGGACTGATCACCTTCCCACCCCCGGGGAGCCGGGCGTCCGTCAACCCCTACATCTGTCCCTCTCCCTGCGAATCCCTCACTGGACCACTCAGTGCACGGCGGGGATGGACCCCGGTGACTTTCGGCGCATCCGCTGCATTTACCGGGCCCAGGAATCGCACTCAAAAGTTGGGAAGGTGCAGCCCGCACTTTGCAAGCCTCGGGAGGCTGCGGGGGCGCTGGGCGCCCACCCACCCTCCCAGCCGGCCCGGCCCGGCCCGGCCCGGCGCCTCCAAGTTCTCCCCGGCGGGGCGGCGGAGAGCGGCCCCGCTCCGCCCGAGCCCACTCCCCCACCCCAGCCGTGCCCGGGGACGGGGGTCGTGGCGGTGGGGTGAGGGGGGCGCGCAGCACTCACGTCTCGGAATTTGTTCCACTGTCCGACTTCCTTGTCATACTGAGAGATGGTGGTGAGCCATTGTTTATCATCCAGAAAATTACCGCCGTCCGAACGCCCCCCGGCCGCAGCCTGACTGCACCAAGCCGCTGCACACACGCACAGCACGGCGGACACCTTGAGCATCTGGGAGAGGAGACACAACCGGGGGCGGGGGCCGGGGTCAGCGGAGGGGTGCGGGCGCCGCGGCGGAGGAGACGAGCGGGGTCTGGGGGTGAGCGGGGGGCATGGGGGGCTCCCTCCCCGCAGACCGCACGCCCACGCGCGAGCACGCAGGGGTCGGGGGGCAGCAGCCCCGCGCCGGCAGGCGGCCGCCTCCCCGCACCTCACCTTGCGGCGAGCCGGGACTGCGCTCGCAGCCTCCCGCTGGAAATGCAGGCGGGCGCTGCTGCCGGAGCCGCCTCACGCGCCGCCGTCTCCTGCCGGCCACTCCGCGCCCTGCGCCCCGCGCGCTCCGCAGCCGCCTCCCCCCGCGCGCCGCGCTCGCGCGCGCCGACTCCCCGCGCTTCCCCCGCGCCCTCCCCCGCCTCCCCGCCCGCCCGCAGCAGCCCCGGCCTCCGGGCGGGCGGCGCCGGGCGCGCGCGGGTGCGGGAGCTCCCGCTCCGGAGTCCTCGGCGGCGCCCCGAGCGCGCCCCGTCGCCCCATGGTTGCCCCTACCGTGCAGGTGCGAGCGAGGAAAGGCAGGGAGTGGGAAAGCGGAGGCGAACTTGGCATCGCCGAGCCAGGATCCCCGCGACTCGCTCTCCTGCCAGCCTGGGCAGACTCTGCCCCTGAAAGCTAGGCCACATGTAGGCGCTTGGGAGCCCTGCTTCATTTCAGGAAATACAAAGTTGGCCCTGAACTTCTAGCTGGCTGAGCACGAGCCTAGACGGTTGGAGGGATTTTAGGGTTTGGGTGTTTTTTCTTGTTCCTTGGCGAGTGCATTGGACGTTCTAGAACCTGACTCAAGGCTGGACAAGCCTCCCGTGTCTCCCCTGGGAGAGGTAAGCAGACCATTTGCAGCCCTTGAACGCGCATTTGACATGACACGACCCCACCCCCAACCCCATCTTTGACAACATATTTAGTTTTCCCTGCCTTCTCTACATCTCCCAGTAAGCCAGAAGGAAACCAGTCATCAGTTCCCTGTAAGGGGAGCGCGACCAAGACTCTCCCGGTACTTAGAGTTTTAGGACAAAGTGAATATCCCATGTAAATCCAGAGGTTTCTGGAAGCTGAAACACTGCAATAATGTTATGAATCTCCAGTGGACTTAATAGATTTTTCAGGCAGAACTACATCTCCCAAAGCTAAGAACCGCACAGGTTTCCTGTAGCTTCCCAACTTCAGGAGCTACTTGGATGGCACCAATACCATCTACTCCCGTGTTCTGTGAGGTGACATTTGTCAAAATATGTTAAAATAGCAAACACAATGAGTAATGTTCATTTCAAGTTTCGCATCCAGGATGTTTAAAAATGTAGCATACATGATAGGAAAGAAATGGCTATTCAACTCAGAAAAGAAGTGTTTTCCTCAACTTTCCTATTTCTCTTCTGATGAATTAGAGAAAGAAAAACACACACACACACACACACACACAGAATCTATAGCAGAAACCCACAGAATCCCTGGTTGATAGAAATACACACAAGATAACTGTCAGGACACTAATGTGTAAATTCTCCAAGGACATTTATATTAGCTTGGTCACAGAGCTGTGCTGTGTATGTTAGCATCTTTGAGATCTTGCTTTGTGCCTCATTAAGATAATAATAGGTTCATCCTCCACCATCACTGCTACTGCTGCCCTGGCCCTACCTGTTTCGCCCACTCTTGCCTCTCCACCCCAATATTTGACAAAGTCCTTTGTTCTCAATTCAATAAGAATAGTTCGTTGTATTTTAAAATCTTATTATTTTATCATTTGAAGCCACCATGGAAAACGTAGACATTGTTCCTTAGGTGAAGCCCTGCTGCATGGCGGAAGTCAGTACTTCTTCAATTAAACTAAGCCTCTACCTTGTATAAGCTACCTTGCGAGGAGAGGTATGCTATTTGCCATGAAGTATTTGATGAGGAACGATGCTTTCACACACACCCTCTTCAGCATCCATTATGTATTTTAGCATAAATATATGATGCCATCTAAGACTAACATTCACTTTGAGAATTATGGAAGCACATATATTTATGTTTATATTCTCTTCCACCAAATCGTTGATGCGCTTACTCCCAAAATTTATGGAAAATGCAAATTATTTGGAGGCAGAATTTTTTGGAAGGATGCATAGTTTTTCCATTATGCACTTTCCATAAGCTTTTAGAAGACCCTTCTTATTTCATTGCTTTCTCTGACTTGCTTATAGAATCTTTTCACATCTGACTTTCGCTAACAACTTCCAACAAGACAGCTCCATGAGGACTGCTGATAAGTGTAAAAACTTGTTTTTGAAGAACAAATAACAATTATTTTCTGAATCTTGTGGGGGTGGGGAAGCATCTCATAGAGCATTAAACTCCAGATCTGGTAGTAGATAAGATGTACAAGCAAATCACAAATATGAAATTCTGAAGCAATAAGAGGTAGGCTGGGCCTATTTCCTTCGAGGTTTTGTGGCTCTGGGATGGTCCAGGTCATCCGCCACTGATCCTCAGGCCTCTGCTACCAAAGCCATTGCCGCTGTCTAGGCAAAGTGACTGGGAATGTGGGTAGAGAGAGTGAAAGTCCGAAGTGTAGTGTTGGGATGCTACTGATCATGGGGAAATCTTCTCTGCATGTTTCTCTGTGTGACCTAATGGGTCTTCAAAGACCCCGTCTTGAACATTTAAATGGTGCTCAGATAATGGACACTTGGGATAGTTAACACCTTGGTTATGAGTTAACACTTCTGTGGGAATCGATTGAAAGCTTACTAGCAGCAAAACACAGCAAGGCACAATAGGAGGAGAGGAATAACATGAGAGGTAAAACTTGGCAGGGTTAGAAATGTTATCTCTGTAGGTGCTTCCCAGTTGTACTTGCAGCCTATAGGAAACTGGAGATGTAAAAAATGTAAAAAGAAAAGAAATAGTAAGAAAAAAAGTCCCAGAAAGTAGAATGTGGTATGTCAGGGGAAAGGGGTAGAATAAGATCCTGACACCATAAAAGTAAGTGGCGGGTCTAGACCTTGATCTTGTGTACCTGTCATGCTTAGCAAAATTAGAACTCACCGCAGGACGCAAGTCTTCAGGTTCCCAGCCCCGTCTCTGTCACTTCTATCATCTTATGCAGAAATCATGGTTTGTATACATTTTAACTAGCGGATACTGGGGCCACTGTGAGCTTGAACTCTACCTCTGTATTTATTTCTTTATCCTTTTAACTCTTAATCTGGTAAACATTTAGGCAGTCCATAACTATCTATTCTTGAATATGTGCAAGTCACTTTTGGTAGGAACTTTTTAATTAAGTCCATTTCTTCTCTAGATTTTTTGCTCTTCATCTCTTCATTTTCAGATTTGCCACAATTCTTTTTTTTTTTTTTTTTTTTTGACAGGTAGAATTATAGACAGTGAGAGAGACAAAGAGAAAGGTCTTACTTCTGTTGGTTCACTCGTCAAATGGCCGCCATGGCCGGTGTTGCACTGATCCAAAGTCAGGAGCCAGGAGACTCTTCCTGGTCTCTCATATGGGTGCAGAGGCCCAAGGACTTGGGCCATCCTCCACTGCCTTCCCGGGCCACAGCAGAGCTGGACTGGAAGAGGAGCAACTGGGACTAGAACCTGCGCACAAATGGGATGCCGGTGCCGCAGGCCGAGGATCAACCAAGCGAGCCTTGGCGCCGGGCCCAGACTTGCCACAATTCTAAAAAGAGAAATACTAAGCATATAATGGCACGGGGTCCATTTATAATTCCCTTGAGATTGGATTTATGAAGATTTTAATAGAATTTCATTTCTTTAAATTCATATGTGCACATGCACACACACATACACACACTTAGCTGTTTTTCCCAGATTACCTTCTCCACCAGTGTAAAAGCATACTAGTCTTGTGTTTCCCGGCTCCCAGGAGGATATGTAGGAAAAACCCAGGTGGTCCTGCAGCTCCTATGGACCAGCGCAGAGCTGGGATCTTTGCACACAGGGCCTATTTTAGTCTCCAACATGATCCCATGGCTGGTAAGAGTACAGGGGTGGCTTTGAGTCTCTGTAGGGTTCTTGAGAATGACCATACCACACTGCTTCTTGATTTTCCCTCTCTCTCACCCTGTAAGCTGTGGATCAATCCCTGCTTATATTCTTCAGTTCTGCTGTTCTTGTATCTTTCTTTCCTCACCTGTTGCACATTTATTTGTCTTTATTTCAGTAAATGCTAGAACCATTCTATGATTAAAATCAGGAAAAGAGCAAGTGGGCAATTCAGGGAGCTTCCTAAGCTACAACAGAAGTCACTCCACTTCCACGCTGAGCAGTTTAGTCCCTGTCTCAACTGATGACCCTGTCCCCTAGGCCCTTCCGGGTCAACAGAAGCAAGCCAGGAGCCCTGTGAGAAGGGAATTGACTAAAGCTGCCTCATTCTCATGCAAAAATGCTTGCTAGTTAAGCAAATGTCCATCTTCCCATTTCATCCAGCTCCTGGAAGGTAAAGGGAGGTGGACAGTAAGGGGCTTCCAAAGAGTCTGACATCACCACAAACTGTGGTTTAATACTAAATAAGGGGTCCTAACATCACTACTTGATAAATAAGCTTTATTAATAACACTACTTGAAACATTTTGTTATAAGGCTAGACTTACATTATCTGATCTGTAAAAGTCAATTATCCAGAGTGTTGTCTTACACAGACTCCATCTATGAGCTTAAATTAAGCATATGAAACAAAGGGAAAAATAAAGCAAAATACCAAGTATTAAAAATCCAGGATCAAATTAAAGATTTGCTAGTCCCATCATAAAAACCTATCAAGAAGGAACATTCTGTGTCCTCATTTGGAAATTTAATTTGCTGAAATCATTTAAGTTTTTTTTTTTTTAAAGATTTATTTATTTAAGGGCCGGTGCTGTGGTGTAGCGGGTAAAGCTGCCGCCTGCAGTGCCAGCATCTCATATGGGCACCCGCTTGAGTCCTGGCTGCTCTACTTTAATCCACCTCTCTGCTATGGCCTGGGAAAGCAGTAGAAAATGACCCAAGTCCTTGGGCTCCTACACCCACAGCTATGCAGCTCTGGCCTTTGCAGCCAACTGGGGAGTGAACCAGCAGATGAAAGCCCTCTCTCTCGCTCTCCCTCTTTCTCTCTCTCTCTCTCTGCCTCTCCTCTCTCTCTCTCTCTCTGTGTAACCTTGCCTTTCAAATAAAATATTTATTTATTTACTTATTTGAAAGGCAAGGTTACACAGAGAGAGCATAAGGGATGCTGGCACTGCAGGTGGCGGCTTTACCACTATGTAACAATGCTGTCCCCCATTTAAGTTTTACAGGTCATCTGTTCTTAACTTAGTAGAAAGCAGCAGTAATCACTAAGACTTATGTTGGGAGAATTTAAAAACATACAAACGAAAAACCGTACAGGAATCACTGGAATAGGATGTTAACATGCTTTTGTTTGTGGTGTTAATGTATCTTTGATTTTTACAAATGACCCCACTTAAACTCAAAAGATGTTAAATACCTAATTTGATTTAGCCTTCCT